AGCAATGGTTGCACTGGCTTGAGCTCTGACATAAATCCTGTCAAGCAAAGGTGTCAAAGTGATTCTTTCATTGGGAGGCGCTTCTGGTAGCTACTCGCTTAGCTCAAGTGCAGATGCAAAGCAAGTTGCTACTTACCTTTGGAATAACTTCCTTGGGGGACAATCGTCATCTCGTCCACTTGGGCCTGCTGTACTGGATGGTATTGATTTTGATATCGAAGGTGGAACAAACCAACACTGGGGCGAGCTTGCAAGATTTCTTTCAGGATATAGCAATCAAGGCAAGAAGGTGTACATAACTGCAGCTCACAATGCCCATTTCCTGATGCTTGGATAGGAGATGCCCTTAAAACTGGTGTGTTTGACAATGTCTGGGTCCAATTCTATAACAACCACCTTGTCAATACACTCAGAGATATGGGAAACTAGAAAACGCATGGAAAGAGTGGACCTCAGATATTCCTGCTACTAAGATTTTCTTAGGTTTACCTGCATCTCCTGAGGCTGCAGGTACTGGCTTCATTCCGGTTGCTGATCTTAAATCAAAAGTGCTTCCGTTCATCAAGGGTTCTGACAAGTATGGAGGTGTTATGTTGTGGTCCAGTATTATGATGATCAAAGTGGATACAGTTCTTCCATCAAGAATGATGTCTAATTCTGAACACTAAAGTACTGTCAATGTATCATATCATGTATCTTTGCATATGAGTGAGGTCTTAAATTTTATGTATCCCACATGCATGTAATATAATTGTGCCTGTATTCTTGTCATTTATGAAATATAATGTGCCTGTATCTTGTCATTTATGAAGGATATATACACGGATTGCGGTCTTAAATTACTAGCTATTATGTTAAAACAACAGCTCTGTGTTCCTTTCCTTGACTTCACTATCTTTAGGTTTCTCTCCGAAACTTCATAATATATGACTGAGCACTAAAATCTATGAAAAATCAATCTGTAAATAAATGGTAGGTAGCTTCGTTTCGTTTGTGTTAAATACACGCGACCTTGATGGGAAGTGAGGAGATGACAGGGCAAGGGGCAACCGACGACGTTGTGAAGATGCAAGTGGAGGCTATGCACAGGCTGCGACCATCAACTGGAACCCAAAGTTGAAAATGTCAAGCCAAGACTAATATGCGTGCAAGTTATATCTGGACCATGCGAATTATCTACGAGACTACGACATCATTCAATCGAATTTTGAGCCAAAGGTGAAAGTGTCAAGCTAAGACAATACGCACGATATCATTCAATGAAATTTTGATCTTTCCGAAACTTCTTGTAATCAATTTCTTCATTTAGCTGATTCTGTTATCTCTTCTGTCTCTGAACAAAATACGGAGGTAGTTTAAAAACTGTAATATGGGTTTGGTAAAATTATTAATAAAATTATCAAGAATAATCTTTTGAAAAAGGAAAAGGAAAATCGGGCTTTTTCAATTAACCTATAAGCCAACGATTTTGATCCGAATAGAGGTTATGAATTAGTATTTGATTAGAATAATGTAAAATAATTTTATAATCTCAATTATCAAAACAGACTCTAAAAAATAATGATAAGTCTTGCATTGTACCAATCTTAGGTTCACGTATATATATTTTTATTACATCAAATATTGGGGGTACGTGAGTGATAGTTAAAAAACAATAATACTAATCAACATCTTCATTAATTTTTCACTAATTCTATATGATAGTTTGCAATTGACTGGTCAAACGGGATCTGTTGTTAAACAGATAAGACTCATGTAAGTTAATTAATTAGAATCAATGGTGTTTGTGGGAGAAAATGAACGAGAACAAGTGTTTGTGCTCTCTAACGAAACGGACTGCTGCACAACCAGGCTTAGCGCGTCACATTGCAGTACTTATGTTGCGTGTGATAAACATAAATGGAAGAGGACAAAACAATAGGAGGTGGAGAAAATTGAAATGTATGAGAATGAGAGTTGGATATTTTGGTGTATTGGATCACGTATATCTATATCAAAATGGGATAGTATGACAGTTTCCTTCGTCACGACAGAAAGCGCAAGCAACCAAGTACCAACAAAACAATCACAAGCAACTTATAGACTCAAATACTAGCGGCCTTATTTATCAAAACCTGTGGTTAATATTAAAGGCTGCAAAGTGCTTTCAAATAAACCACAGTTAAATAGATCAGTCTCATAAAATAACTAAACACATTTCGGGTGGCGGTTGGTCATCCACGCACACCTCATACTGCAGGTTAGTTGCCTTTGTCGCACCATATTGGACTAATTTTATGTGATTGAATTGAAATCAATAACCAATAAATTGAATTTGATAGGATATTTATTACTTTAGTATGTTTATTAGAGTTTTGTATTAAATAATTCGATTTTTAGTATTTAATTAAGTACTTAAAATATTTATTTTAGTTCAACAATAAATTTTATTCATATTTATTTTAGAAATTTGAAAAATATCAGATTTTGTTAAAATTGTTATTGTTATAACACAAAATCATATTATACAGTAATAATAAATAATATTATGTTAATTAATTACAAGTAATTAATATTAAATCGAGTAAACAACTTTTTCCCATCCAAGGTTTGCCTTAATGACACTTTCCACCCTAAAAGTTTGAAAATACCACTTTTTCACCCAACATTTATATTTCGTTAATATCCAAAATACACTTTACTTTCTCAGCCGGCGTTCAACAAGTTACCAAGAGCCAACGTAAGTGAGTTTTTGTAAAATGGAGACCACTAAATCAAATAGTATTGACCAATTGAATATTCACCGTTGAAATCAACTAAGTATATGAGATCTTAGCTTTTCGGTGGTTAATAATCAGCAAAATATCAGGTGCTGAAGTAAGAAGAGTTTTGTAGAGAGAAGAGTGGAGATTCAAATGGTGGTGATCGAGATAATTTTTTCTACCATAATCGGCTTTGCATAATAACATAATATTAACTTTAAGTGGGAAATGGTACTTTAAAACTTTTTAGGTGGGAACTGTAATTATGGCAAACCTGGGTTGGGAAAAGGTCATTTACTTACATCAAATCATATTTAAAGTTGCAAAACTCATGCAAACCAAACATCATACCTCCATGAGGCAAACATTATATCTCCATGAGGCAAACATAAAGACAAGCAGTGGGGACAATCAATATTATTTGAGTAATGCTACAGCCACCGAAGGTTGTGCACTGAATCTGTGCACCGAATTACGTAGTAAAATCTTGACCATTTATTTATTACCAGTTAATATCAATAAATGGTCAGGATTTTGCCACGTCATTCGGTGCACAAATTCGGTGCGCAACCTTCGGTGGCTCTATCATTTTCCATATTCTTTTCTTTGCGCATAAATTCTTTTAGTCCAAAACTCTAAAAAATGAAATATAGCTCCATATATAGGTTTTAATTTTTGTTTTTCTATATATTCTTGATTCGATTTTTTACACCAATGAGAAGTATGTAAGATCTATGGTAGAATCCACGTCAGGGTTTGTAGTAAACCTGTATTTTAATGTTAAATTAATGCGAAAATAATAAACAAACACAAAGAATAAAGAATTTCTAAAATAGTTAGGACGTAAAGTGCAAATCTTACGTTCAATGTTATATTATTGCTCATATTGTGCGCTTTTTAAGTACAAACAAGCTCAATTCTTAGTACAGAAGATACGGTTTTTATAGTAGGAAGAATATAGTACTCCAAAGATCCTTTTGTTGGGGGTGAAAGACCGATTTATATATTGTTGACTTAGTAGATTTACATATGAAGTAATCCTAATATGGAGTGACACAAGACCTAACTAATAGGTCAACGTTAAGACTTACCAATGAAGTAATCTTTTGCAATCTTACAGGTAAAGTAACCCTTTGACAGAGACGGTCCGATGATAATATATATCCTTTGGATACGTAGCGTTAACATTACTTGTAGTATCATTTTGTGCAATCTGATTTGCCAAACATATCCTGTATGCGGTAATGTTGTCTAATTGATTATTTAAGCATATGATATCATTATGGGTTGTAAACTATTGTAATATCTTATTTGACTTTCAATTGTATTTATATAGGGTCGTAATTAAGCCACAATAAGGGTGTCATTTCNTACGTGTTACATGCCTATTCTGATGTGAAATAGTGTACTGGAACGCGTAAACGAGAACTTTATACTGTATGGGACACTCCATCGAATTCCAAGAATTGGCTTTGAGAAGTTAGCCAACGACAGAAAACAGGAATGGGAAGTCTGATAGTGAACACAAGTAAGATGCGGGAAAGCAATTAATGGGTTTGGTCCCCTCCGTTCAGGCTAAATTTGAGTGTTGCGGTGCTGCTTCACAATTGATATGGATTTTCTCCTACCATATATACTTTGTCTCTATCCTATCAACTTGTTTGTTCTCACGTGATCAACTCTTAGAAAATCCCTTCTCTGTCTCCTAATAATACAAACACAAAAATTACAGAGTCCATTGACGATAATGAACTTATTCACATTGCTCAAGTCCATTCCCATTAATGAACATTCACAATAACATGCCCGATTTTCTCCAAGGTTTAGATGCGTAATGTCTCAAATCAATATGTCTGACAAAAGGCACGAAATTGGAGGGTTACCCTCCCCACAGCTGAAAAGACGAAAACATAACAACAGAAGGATAAAACGAAGACTTGATGAGGGCCCTTACATTTCCAACAGAACACAGCTTTTAATTTCCTGTGCAATTGCTTTCCTGAATTTACTTTTGAATTGCCTACGGCATTATGCCTTCAGCAATTTGACTGCTAAGTTCCTTGATATAATGGTAAGTCCTTGGAACAACATTAATTTTATCCTGAAAAGCCTTACTAAGATTTTCACATAGACAATTATAAGGAGAAAGAGGAGGGTGCCGGAAATCTTCATATACTTACAAGAAGAAGAGAACAAAAAAATATGCTATTTTAACAAGATTTTTCTATAAAATTCAGAAAACAACAAATAAGTGTCATCCAATATTAATTAAGAGTTTCTACAGCTATGTATCCATGAAGCTTGTGCGAGACAAATTCAGATTTAAATCCAAGAGGAAGGAACACCAAGAAATGGACAAAGGACCACTTGTGCTCAATCTCTAGCCATGCATGTCTGACACCTCTACTCTTCTCCTTCCAGTCGCTGTTGTCTCTGTTAAACGATCATTTCTCTGAATTAAAACGTAAATGATGATCAATCACGACTAAAATATTTGTCACTGTTAATAACTACGTGCTTGAGAAAACAAAGGGTGGTTAATTAACTCTTAAAGTAAAGAAGAGATTAAAGGTCGATGAACATACCTATTGATCTTTTGCAATGAAGAATGGCTTCATGGATTGAGCTCTCAATATCACACCAATCATCCACTGAATATGCTGTACTTCTTTGTGGAGATGCTTGGGGTGAATTATTGCTACACCTCTTAACTTCCCAAGCTAGTCTCCTATCAATATCGTTAACCCTAATACTTTTTCTTGAACTTCTTATAATTGCTTTATTGCACAACGATCTGATATGTCCAAAACACTTCTGGATGATTCGCTGGGACGACTCTTTCCATTTTATAAAGCAATCACAATGACCATCCAGGGATGAAATACCAATATTTCCTACAGAAAACGAAGAGCCAGGTAAGACTGTTATGAAATCTGAGCTATTGGAGGAATCTATCTCTGAAGGATCATCAACAAATACAGGTTTGATGAGGCCATCGGAAAAAAGTTCATCAGCATGAAGAAGAGCAACAGGGGATGTAGGAATATCAAAATTAAAGTTGAGGGCTTCTTTTACTAAGGTGCCGTCCAATTCCTTTGAGGTGACTTCCCTGGAATTGTTAAGAGATGTTGTATTTGATAACCAACTAGATGAAAAACTTTCAATGGCTAAAGGGTGGGATTTTTCCATGGACCAATTAGGGCAAATAGTTCCAATGAAGGATGATAAGCTTGTATATATATACAGGTTCCAATCCACGAGAACAAGAAAGGTTAGATTCAATAAGGAAACAATTTTTTAAAGGCAGGATAATCATTAGATTATAAGGCTAGCTATATATTATACTATAATATTCATAATGAGGTTATATTAAGGTAACATAATAATATTTCTTGTTAAGCAATAACTTTCGTGCATGTTTCGTGTGTGTGTATATATAAATATAAAAAATTCTAAGTCAATAACATAATGGATTATGGTTTGTTTTATGGAAAAAAAAAAAGCAATAAATTTCACAAAATTATTCGACCGCAGACGGTAATTGCTTGGTCCATCCGATATTGGGCCATCGAGAGACAAATGGAACAAGAAACAGGAGCAATTGGAATAATGTTATATATATATATTTTTTCTTTTGCTTGATTTTCTTATGTCTTTATTTATTTATTTATTCGTTTTCGTTTTCGTTTTGGTTACGGATGCCAAAATGTATTCCATCTAATATATTTCATATATGAGATATTCCAGCAAAGATAAACATAAATAAAAGAGGAAATCTACAGTTTCAAGTTACCTATAAGTTATAACAAGTGCCATGTTGTAATGTCAAAATAATTCCATCTTTATAAACTAAAATGGCATTCTAGAAGTGTTGTCATAATTTTTTAGATTGGTTATTATTATTATATTATTTAATTATATAGAGAATGGTGATGTGGAATTTGTATTGACAGATTAAAAAATATTAAGGAGAATCTCTTGTACAAATACACACATCTCCCATGTTAACATATATTGTCATAGCAAAAGTGGAAACAAGTGAATACTCCTATAAGAGAATAAAATATGCTTTCAGTTAAAATGAAATTTAATATATTTGTATTTAAAAATAACTAATTTTTTGGACTATATCTTAGCTCTTGAAAATTAAGATAAGACCTGAACGTCAGAAGCTAGTAGGAACTTAGTGCTAAAATTGGGCCAGAACCCACCACAAGGCACAATGTTCCATAATGTGGCCAACCGGCTGAGGCCTGACCCATTGATATTTATATAATGTTAATATGTTGCTGTCATTTACAATTTTACATGAACGATTGAAAATAGGACAGTGGCAACTGACCCATTAGTATATTTTTTTAACCACTTTATGTACATGGACTTCATTCTCTATGGTCCTTAATGAGAAGAATTGGATTAAGCTTATCTCTCCCACACTTATCATTATACACAGCAATTGATAAAACCAAATCAAATATTGGTCAACTGCAATATTACAAAATCAGTTGGTCTCTAGCAAATACATCTTGGACTCCAAATGGTTCGGTGGGTAGCTCTTGGATTTGGTCTCTAACTGAAACATCTTGTACTTGTACTTGGTTTTGATCTTTTAACACTTAAATGGGTAAAGATTTATTTAAATCATCATCAAGGGATTCAGTGAGTAGTGGAATCTATCAAATATTTCATTACTTAGCTTAGGTTGTACGAATCAAAATCAATCTTTTACTGCCATAAAGATCGAGAGGATTTTATGTTAACACGGGAGATATTGAATATCTCTGATTAAGGTATCATCCAAAACAATAATCTTTGCGGGGCTGGATTTATATGTAATCTTGCTGCTAATTTACTTGCAAGGAAATTTCGTTAATTTGAATGACTGAGAGGAAGATGCCTTACACATTTTGCGAGGGCTGTCAAATCATAATTATTTAAACTTCCTTGAATAACTTCAAAAAGATCTTCCAAAAAAGGAATAAGGTTAGTAATATTATAATAATATTTCAGACTTTGAACTTTATCTTGTTAATATACACTAGTTAACTGCCATTATATATGTTCATTTAGCGTAAAGGGTAACACAAGACGCCGAAGCTATTATTGTTCTAAACAGAGGCAAGTGACAAACCAACTTTCAAATGAACTAGAATTGTTTGGCTATAAACACTTCGTCTGCGTCAAGCAAATGTCACTCTTCCAGACTGGTGAATCCCTTGATTAGCAATTTAGCATTACCACAAAGACCAAATCTGTATCACATATAAAATGCGCGCATGCGGGCTCTCTTAACATAACTCAGCAAACAAAAAATTAATTCTGATTAGCGTGAGTGATTCTGGCCAGCAAATTTGAGTATAATGGCGTTTCGATCAGCAATCTCAATGACATTTTTCTCCTTACTATTGCTTTTGCTAGCAATAGGTTCTAATGCTGGGGGTATTGCTATCTATTGGGGTCAAAACGGCAATGAAGGCACTCTTCAAGAGACTTGTGCTACAGGGAAGTATGACTATGTAATATTATCCTTTCTAGCTACTTTTGGCGATGGGCGGACCCCAATGATAAACCTTGCCGGTCATTGTGATCCATACAGCAATGGTTGCACTGGCTTGAGCTCTGACATTAAATCCTGTCAAGCCAAAGGTGTCAAAGTGGTTCTTTCATTGGGAGGCGCTTCTGGTAGCTACTCGCTTACCTCAACTGCAGATGCAAAGCAAGTTGCTACTTACCTTTGGAATAACTTCCTTGGGGGACAATCGTCATCTCGTCCACTTGGGCCTGCTGTACTGGATGGTATTGATTTTGATATTGAAGGTGGAACAAACCAACACTGGGGCGAGCTTGCAAGATTTCTTTCAGGATATAGCAATCAAGGCAAGAAGGTGTACATAACTGCAGCTCCTCAATGCCCATTTCCTGATGCTTGGATAGGAGATGCCCTTAAAACTGGTGTTTTTGACAATGTCTGGGTCCAATTCTATAACAACCCACCTTGTCAATACACTCAAGGAGATATTGGGAAACTAGAAAACGCATGGAAAGAGTGGACCTCAGATATTCCTGCTACTAAGATTTTCTTAGGTTTACCTGCATCTCCTGAGGCTGCAGGTACTGGCTTCATTCCGGTTGCTGATCTTAAATCAAAAGTGCTTCCGTTCATCAAGGGTTCTGACAAGTATGGAGGTGTTATGTTGTGGTCCAAGTATTATGATGATCAAAGTGGATACAGTTCTTCCATCAAGAATGATGTCTAATTCTTAACACGAAAGTACTAAACTACTGTCAATGTATCATATCATGTATCTTTGCATATGAGTGAGGTCTTAAATTTTATGTATTCCACATGCATGTAATATAATTGTGCCTGTATTCTTGTCATTTGTGAAATATAATTGTGCCTGTTCTCTTGTCATTTATGAAGGATATATACACGGATTGCGGTCCTAAATTACTAGCTATATGTTAAAACAACAGCTCTGTGTTCCTTTCCTTGACTTCACTATCTTTAGGTTTCTCTCCGAAACTTCATAATATATGACTGAGCACTAAAATCTATGAAAAATCAATCTGTTAAATAAATGGGTAGGTAGCTTCGTTTCGTTTGTGTTAAATACACGCGACCTTGATGGGAAGTGAGGAGATGACAGGGCAAGGGGCAACCGACGACGTTGTGAAGATGCAAGTGGAGGCTATGCACAGGCTGCGACCATCAACTGAAACACAAATTTGAAAATGTCAAGCTAAGACTAATATGCGTGCAAGTTACATCTGGACCATGCGAATTATCTACGAGACTACGACATCATTCAATCGAATTTTGAGCCAAAGGTGAAAGTGTCAAGCTAAGACTAATACGCACGATATCATTCAATGAAATTTTGACTCTTTCCGGAAACTTCTTGTAATCAATTTCTTCATTTAGCTGATTCTGTTATCTCTTCTTGTCTCTGAACAAAATACGGAGGTAGTTATAAAACTGTAATATGGGTTTGGTAAAATTATTTAATAAAATTATCAAGGAATAATCTTTTCTGAAAAAGGAAAAAGGAAAATCGGGCTTTTTCAATTAACCGATAAGCCAACAGATTTTGATCCCGAATAGAGGTTATGAATTAGTATTTGATTAGAATAATGTAAAATAATTTTATAATCTCAAATTATCAAAACAGACTCTAATAAAATAAATGATAAGTCTTGCATTGTACCAATCTTAGGTTCACGTATATCATCTTTTTATTACATCAAATATTTGGGGGTATGTGACGTAGATATAGTTCAAAAAACAATAATACTAATCTCATCAACATCTTTCACTAATATTTTTCACTAATTCTATATGATAGTTTGCAATTGACTTGATCAAACGAAATCTGTTGTTAAACAGATAAGACTCCTATAAGTTAACTAATTATATGAATCAATATGTGGTGTTTGTGGGAGAAAATGAACGAGAACAAGTGTTTGTGCTCTCTAACGAAACGGACTGCTGCACAACCAGGCTTAGCGCGTCACATTGCAGTACTTATGTTGCGTGTGATAAACATAAATGGAAGAGGACAAAACAATAGGAGGTGGAGAAAATTGAAATGTATGAGAATGAGAGTTGGATATTTTGGTGTATTAGGATCACGTATATCTATATCAAAATGGGATAAGTATGACAGTTTCCTTCGTCACGACAGAAAGCGCAAGCAACCAAGTACCAACAAAACAATCACAAGCAACTTATAGACTCAAATACTAGCGGCCTATATTTATCAAAACCTGTGGTTAATATTTAAAGGCTGCAAAGTGCTTTCAAATAAACCACAGTTAAATAGATCAGTCTCATAAAATAAACTAAACACATTTCGGTTGGCGGTTGGTCATCCACGCACACCTCATACTGCAGGTTAGTTGCCTTTGTCGCACCATATTGGACTAATTTTATGTGATTGAATTGAAATCAATAACCAATAAATTGAATTTGATAGGATATTTATTACTTTAGTATGTTTATTAGAGTTTTGTATTAAATAATTCGATTTTTAGTATTTAATTAAGTACTTAAAATATTTATTTTAGTTCAACAATAAATTTTATTCATATTTATTTTAGAAATTTGAAAAATATCAGATTTTGTTAAAATTGTTATTGTTATAACACAAAATCATATTATACAGTAATAATAAATAATATTATGTTAATTAATTACAAGTAATTAATATTAAATCGAGTAAACAACTTTTTCCCATCCAAGGTTTGCCTTAATGACACTTTCCACCCTAAAAGTTTGAAAATACCACTTTTTCACCCAACATTTATATTTCGTTAATATCCAAAATACACTTTACTTTCTCAGCCGGCGTTCAACAAGTTACCAAGAGCCAACGTAAGTGAGTTTTTGTAAAATGGAGACCACTAAATCAAATAGTATTGACCAATTGAATATTCACCGTTGAAATCAACTAAGTATATGAGATCTTAGCTTTTCGGTGGTTAATAATCAGCAAAATATCAGGTGCTGAAGTAAGAAGAGTTTTGTAGAGAGAAGAGTGGAGATTCAAATGGTGGTGATCGAGATAATTTTTTCTACCATAATCGGCTTTGCATAATAACATAATATTAACTTTAAGTGGGAAATGGTACTTTAAAACTTTTTAGGTGGGAACTGTAATTATGGCAAACCTGGGTTGGGAAAAGGTCATTTACTTACATCAAATCATATTTAAAGTTGCAAAACTCATGCAAACCAAACATCATACCTCCATGAGGCAAACATTATATCTCCATGAGGCAAACATAAAGACAAGCAGTGGGGACAATCAATATTATTTGAGTATGCTACAGCCACCGAAGGTTGTGCACTGAATCTGTGCACCGAATTACGTAGTAAAATCTTGACCATTTATTATTACCAGTTAATATCAATAAATGGTCAGGATTTTGCCACGTCATTCGGTGCACAAATTCGGTGCGCAACCTTCGGTGGCTCTATCATTTTCCATATCTTTTCTTTGCGCATAAATTCTTTTAGTCCAAAACTCTAAAAAATGAAATATAGTCCATATATAGGTTTTAATTTTTGTTTTTCTATATATTCTTGATTCGATTTTTTACACCATGAGAAGTATGTAAGATCTATGGTAGAATCACGTCAGGGTTTGTAGTAAACCTGTATTTTAATGTTAAATTAATGCGAAAATAATAAACAAACACAAAGAATAAAGAATTTCTAAAATAGTTAGGACGTAAAGTGCAAATCTTACGTTCAATGTTATATTATTGCTCATATTGTGCGCTTTTTAAGTACAAACAAGCTCAATTCTTAGTACAGAAGATACGGTTTTTATAGTAGGAAGATATAGTACTCCAAAGATCCTTTTGTTGGGGGTGAAAGACCGATTTATATTGTTGACTTAGTAGATTTACATATGAAGTAATCCTAATATGGAGTGACACAAGACCTAACTAATAGGTCAACGTTAAGACTTACCAATGAAGTAATCTTTTGCAATCTTACAGGTAGTAACCCTTTGACAGACGGTCCGATGATAATATATATCCTTTGGATACGTAGCGTTAACTTACTTGTAGTATCATTTTGTGCAATTGATTTGCCAAACATATCCTGTATGCGGTAATGTTGTCTAATTGATTATTTAAGCATATGATATCATTATGGGTTGTAAACTATTGTAATATCTTATTTGACTTTCAATTGTATTTATATAGGGTCGTAATTAAGCCCACTAAGGGTGTCATTCGCTCTTACTTAAATTCACACTATGAGACAAATCACTTCATATTAGCATGCTGCATTTACAACTAATTAAATATTCCAACAAAGAAATTCGAGCAACCCCTACCCTAACTTCAAGGGGTGCCATGACAAATATAGTATGGTATATTATTTTTCGATTTTTATATTATTCTTCAGTGTCATTTGCTTTCAAACCAACTAATAGATCTTTATCTTTGGACTGACATGACCCCAAATTTAACGGCTAAAATAAAAAACTTTAGCTGTCTGGGCCCAATGTGGACTATTTATTATGCTTTTTCCACAAACAAAAGTAATCAGAAGAATTATTATATGAAGATAAAGCAAAGCCAATAAGGTAAGAGTAGTGCCATTTGGATCAATTGATCCGGATCAAAAACCTTTTTGGGAAGTTAAATTTATAAATTTACCTTTTAATAAAATAAAATATTTTTGGTCCTAAAACCTTTTTTTTTCTGAGAGAAAACAATTTACACCATTGAGATTACGAAAGAATGAGAGAGAAATAATTATTACTTAAATGTTTCAATAGAGGTTGGAAAGTAGATTAATTCATTGTACTAATAATTTATTAGAAAGTTGGAAAGATGAATAATTTATTGTAATAATAAATTGCTTTTATAAAAAAAAAAAAATGTAAAGGTGTTTATGTGCAGACTTAAAGTTAATTGTCAGATGAATTAATTTATTGAATAATTAAATTACTTTATAAAAAAAACCAAAAAAAAAAAAATGTAAAGGTGTTCGTGTGCAGACTTAAAGTTAATTGTTCGGACGCGGGACACCTTCACATTTTATATTTTTTTTTAAAGCAATTTAATTATTAACTACATTCTTTTGCTTAACACATTGGTTACTATAGTTATAAATCAAATCATTATATTTTTTTGCTTCCCACGTTAACTTAAAGAATTAATACAAATACATTAACTGGATTATCAATTAATCCCAATCATACATTAACTGAATTATCAATTTATCCCAATCATACATTAACTGAAAAGCATTGTTCTAACATGTTTGCATAGACATTATTCTAACATGCATATTTGCATAGACATTATTCTAACATGCATATTTGCATAGACATTATCATGTATTTAAACTACTGTAATTGTTGGCATAATGTTTTTTTTTTTAATGAAAATATTTATTACGTTTGGGTTTCCGAGAGTAAATACATGATAAAGTCTATAGCAACCAATGTGTTAAGCAAAGGAATGTAGTTAATCTATGCAAACACATGCAATGACATAATCTTACAATCAGCCATGTTTAATGTCATGGGTAAGAACTAAGATCCAAAGAATAGTACTTAAGTTCTAACGTGGCCAATGCATGAGAATCAAGTACAACTTAACCGGAACAATAAACTTAACATGGTTTAGCTAATAAAATGGAAGGATTTATGTAAAAGACCATCTCTTCAACTGAATCCAAAAACTTAAGCTAATTATTTAGTAAGGACCAAAATAGTCTTTAAGCTCTAACAAATTTGAAAAAAAAAAATGAAATACGAAATCAGCCCTAAACTTCTAGGAAATAATTGACAAAATAATGCTTCTCAAATAAACACTTTAATCAATAACTAAACAAATGTCTTGATTATAATTAAATTTATAATTGTTGGCATGGGTCAT